TTCCCATCCCTCTTATGCAAGATATTTAATCTTGCTCTTGAAACTGAAACCTATCCTACATTACGGAAGGAATCACACATTTTGCCCATTCCTAAGCGCGGCAAATCTACATCATTTGATGACTTTCGGCCAATAACCACCCTCCCAGCAGTTTCGAAGATCTTAGAGACATTGATCAAAGATAAGATGATGTGTCACTTAACAGTGAATAACTTACTGAGTGCCGCTAAGCATGGATTCCTCAAAGCTCGATCTTGTGACACCTGTCAACTCTCTTTCTTTGACTTTGTTCTCCAATCTAGGGACAGTGATTTTGCACTTTACACTGTATATTTCGATTTCACTAAGGCTTTTAATCCTGTTGCCCCTGCTCTTCTTCTCTTGAAACTGTCCTCTTTCGGAATAGGTGGCAAACTTTTGAATTTTATATCCTCTTATTTGGGCCCTCGTACACAACGAGTTAAGATTTCCAATGCCATCTCCAACCCCACACGTGTGAGGAGTGGAGTCATTCAGGGTAGTGTACTCGGCACGCATTTATTTTGCCTTTTCGTTAATGGTGTACCCGATTTATTTCAGAATGGTAGGTCTTTCATGTATGCCGATGATCTTAAAGTTGCATATCGATATAAGCCGGCAGATCATGACATCGTGCTTGAGCTCCTAAAGAACAATCTACAGGCTTTTACCCAGTGGTGCCGCACATGGCGCCGTTCTCTTTCTTGGCATAAGTGCTCAGTCATGGTGGTTGGCGACGACCACCAACCTCAACTAAGTATTGCAGGACACTCCATAAATGTGCCCAGGGTTAAAAAGGATTTGGGCGTATCATACTCCAAGAGTCTCAATCTCTCGGAGCACTGTGCCTTGGTTGTCTCCAAAGCACGCAGAACGACCGGGTTTATCCTCCGAAACTTTAAAACTAGGGACATCAGAATGCGCCTTTTCAACATGTACGTTAGACCTGGTCTGGAATACTGTTCGTTTTCATTTAGCCTCATGCGTGCTACTGAGCTGAATAAAATAGAATCCGTCCAACACTTTTTTACCAAGAAAATTTTATCCCCAGAACACCGACATTTGTCTTACCAAGGACGTTGCCGGCTTACAGGCCTCGATCCTTTATGGTTCCGTAGATTACAAAAAATGACTATTTTTACTATTTAAACTCTTATATAATCATACATTTAACCCACTCACGTCTTTAAGACATCATATCCAACTACAACGTAACAGTCACCGTGAGGTCTTTTTATTTCTTCCTCTGGCACGTACTGTTAAATATCGTCGGTTCTTTTCTGTAAATGCAATTGCTATTTGGAATAAACTACCCATGAGTGTGAAAACGCTGCAAAATCATTCTTTATTTAAGAGAACTATTACTCGATTTTTGCATTCAGAAAAGTTCCCTCAAATTTTGGGTTCTGAATCCACTAATCGACTCTACCGTAGCGATGGCGTTTGTGGTCTCTGAACACTATGACCGGTCTCGCCAGCTGTTCGTCAACGCCTCTACCTTGACTAGCCCCAACTATATGAAAGAAATTGACGTCTGATAATCTCCGATAACGTGCAACCCACCCTTCTTGACGGTAGAAAATCTACCGCCAGCAATTTTTTTTCTCCTGAACCCTTCAAACCATAAAAACCATCATCAACCATATTTTTATTCGTCAGGAGTTTTTTTTCACTGCTGGTCAGATGTGTGTTTAATCGCTTCCCTTGACAATGCCTGTAAACTGGCATTTAATAAATATAAAGAAGGCAACGACCGCCACGTCTTTCGACACGATCCTGGCGGTATAAACTGAGGCTATCTATATTGAGTGCCGAGTCTGAAATTAGAGAGTGTTCCCAAGATTCAGTAATGCACAATACGTCTCAGTCAAACTCAATAGCCACATTTCTTTGTTGTGCCATCTTTTACACGACTGATCTTGCGTTGAGAGAGACAATCGTCGAATTCACTTACTTCCCCCTGAGTGATCCCATTGTACAACGATAATATACGAAGAGGGGGAAGTCTCTGACTGGATTTTCCAGGATGTTACTCATGCCACTACTCAAATCTAAATCCCGCAAAGTCGTTTCGCCTAATTCGACTTGGTTACCCTTAAATCTCCAACAATATGTCGCGGAAAAACGACCATGCACAATTGTTCTTCCTGTCCTTACATACTGCTATTCCCTCTTTGGTTTAATGAACGGCTGTGACCGTAATAAAATCAAAATGTTCACAAGGTTCTCACACGGAAACTGTTCTCTCGTTCTTCGTCCAGGGGTTCTTATACTCAGAGATGTCAACTGGCAAACTTTACGTTTTTGTGAGATAGAAGACTTTAAGCTGGCCTTTGCTTCCTTTTTTGCATTAACTCTAGCTCCATTCTTCCGCTCATTAGCACTCTTAATCCGAGAGATAGGTCTCATGCCGCGTTTAACCCATCCGTGACGATTCCGCTGCCTCTTTGAATTAAATCTAAGCTCTAACTCCGTTTTGCTGCCTAATATGTCTTCCTTTGGAATACTCTTCCACCAGAAATTTCTTCACAACCCAAGTTATCTGTATTCAAATCGATCTTACTTAAACGCCCTACACCGGCATGTAAAGAGGCCAATTTAACCTTCTCACACATGACAATCAGCTTCTTCAATTCGAGGAGGGTCCTTCTGGTATTTAGTTGTAGATCGAGTGGAAAGCACCACTTATATCTTTAAAACCTCATTTTTCGATTTGGCCACCGCTATCACTCCTCCCTCATAGCGACAAATTTCGCCGTCCTTGATGTCACCTCCCTTGATGGGACACCGAACGGTCTTTAATAAAACATTTATAATTATTATCATTTTGACCTCATGCGATTTGTGGACGATCACGTTAAAAACCCCTGTAATCGCCGTCTAATAGTAGTTTGGTCATATCTCCATTGCCGACTTCTCAGCTGGGCTCGAAACGGACTGTGACCGATCGCGTCGAGGTTCCTCT